ATATAATTGGTCACTGGTATCTTTTGGTTTGTTACATTTTCTATAAGAAAGTAGAAATTTGGAATAGTTTACCTAATACTCGTCATAATAAGAAACGCGAGAACGATTGCCAACTTACTGTAAGTGGAGAAGCTTTTGTTCAATGCACTTATACGTATTTCTTTTGCTTGATGTTACTTATGTCGATTATGTTGTTGTTCATGCAACAATTGTTGTACCTAGACTCCATTTTTCATGATGATATCTTGTCGGTATTTGAGACGGGGTAGACGTTCTCCTCCTCTTCTGTTGTGTCCCCATTGGATGCCAATCCCGTCCAACCTAATGGTGTGGATTGTGGCATTTTTGTCATAAGATACATGCAACATTATGGTTAATTGTGGCATGATCAGGTATGCATTGCGCATGTGCGATTTTTATGGTAAAAATATTTTATACGTAATGAAATGTTGAATTTTTTTTGTTGTTGGTTGCAGTACGACTCTAATGTACAGCGGATGCGACTTGCTATTGAGTTGCTGCAAAATGAAAAAAATCAATTGCGTGATGTGATAAGTGAAGCATTGAAAGTGATGGAAAATGCATATGATTTTACGTCAAAGGGGAAGAAGATTGGTAATGCTGAGGTTAAAAAAAAGGATGTGGTGGATGCCACTGTTAGAAAAAAGAGGGTTTATATTTGGAAAAAAAAAATCAGAAGTTACTATACCAGAAACACGTACACGTATACCACGGCGCCGCTAACAAGGTTGGGTAATGGGACTATCATGATTGACCAATATATTTTTGTGAGCATAGATCTAATGATGTGATGCTATTGCTTTTGGTGCATACCCTATATTTTTGGAAGGAGGGTCGCCATGGTATAATATGAGAACCCCTTTTTTTTTTAGGTGTAAAGTGGTTTTCAAAGGGTTGTGACTATGGTTAGGTAGGACATATTTTTTTTGTACATCTAGGCGAATGTCCTATTTGGTGTCCTTTTTATGGTATTCATATCATAGATTAAGACTAACACAGGGTGTGAAAATGTAACAGAGGGTGTGAAAATGTAAATTGGTGAAGTTAATATGTTAACTTTTTATGGTAACCATATGTACGAACAATTGATGAAATTAATATGTTAATTTTATTTTGTGCTGCTAGTCTTGGTTCTGTTTGTATTGCAAGTTATGATGATGATTCCAATGTTTTGGTGTTTAGCGGATTTACCAATGTTTTGGGTAAATTACGCTATTAAAAGATTAAGAATCCCTTTTATAAATTTATGGAAACCCTATGTCCATAACAATATAACGGAAGTCCTATATGTTGTAAACCCTTCGTGTTTACAAGGTTAAGGACCAATTTTATTCCACCAAAGTCCATGCTTACCCTATTCTTATACAAGAGTTCCTTATTGTTGTAAATTACCGAGATTAAGGATGACTTTTACAATGTAGTGGAACGAGTATGTCCATTTGAGTATAATACGAATCCTTAATGTTGTAACCACCACCTTTTTTTTCAAGGACAAAGACACAATTTACGCCTCCAAGGTTCATTCTTACCTTAACATTGTATTGGGGGTTATTTCCTTTGTAAATTAAGCTATTACAGGATTAAGGATCCCTTTTATAAATTTATGGCTATGTCCATAACAATATAACGGAAGTCCTATATATTGTAAACCCCATGTGTTTATGAGGGCAAGGACCAATTTTATTCCACCAAGGACCATGCTTACCCTATTCTTATACAGGGGTTCATTGTTGTTGTAAATTACCGTATTACGAGATTAATGATGACTTTTACAATGTAATGGAACAGTATGTCCATTTTAATATAATACGAATCCTTAATATTGTAACCACCACCTTTTTTACAAGAATAATGACTTAATTTACTCCTCCAAGGTTCATTCTTACGTTAACATTGTATTGGGGGTAATTTCCTTAGTAAATTATGCTATTACAGAATTAAGGATCCCTTTTATAAATTTATGGAACACCTATATCCATAACAATATAACGGAAGTCCTAAATGTTGTAAACCCTTCATGTTTACGAGGGTAAGGACTAATTTTATTCCACCAAGGTCCATGCTTACCCTATTCTTATACAAAGGTTCTTTGTTATTGTAAATTACGGTATTACTCGGTTAAGGATGGAATGACTATGTCCTTTTTAGTAAAATACAAATCTTTAATATTGTAACCCTTGTGTTTACAATGATAATGACCCAATTTACTCCTCACAGGTTCAATCTTACCTTAATATTGTACTGAGGGTCCTTTGCTTTGTAACTTATGGTATTACAAGTTTAAGGATAGGATTTATAATGCAATGGAAGCTCGATGTCCATAATAGTATAACTACAGTCCTAAATGTTGTAAACCCCCCGTGTTTACAATTATAAGGACCGACTTTTGCTATACCAAGGTCCAGTCTTACCTTAAGCTTGTAGTAGGGGTTCTTTTGTTTGTAAACTAGTGTATTACAAGCTTAAGGATATCATTTATACTTTTATGGAACCTCTATGTCTATAATGTTGTAATCTGCGTCCTGAATGTCGTAAACCCTTGTGTTTATAAGGAAAATGACTCAATTTTACTTCTATAAGGTCCTCTCTTACCTTAGCATTATACTAGGTGTTCAATTCTTTGTAAATTATGGAATTACAAGATTAAGGATAGAGTTTATAATTTTATGGAACCTCTATGTCCATAATAGCATAACCAAAGTCCTTACCTTTATAAAAATCTTCTGTGTACAAGCACAATGTCCCACTTTTACTCCTCCAAGGTCGACCATAACCTTCACATTGTACTGCAGGTCCCTTTCGTTACAAATATTAAGAATATGCAAAGTTTCATAAATACAAACCCAAACGTTGTATCCTACAAGAATAAGGATATGTTTTAAAGGGTTCGGAAACAACTATGTCCAATATAGTGTAACTAGAGTCCGTAATAATGTAAACCATTGGGTTTACAAGGATAAGGAGCCAATGTTACATGTTTTAGGTGCATGCTTACCTCATCGTTAAATTAGAGTATTACATATTTTTAATATATATTTATATATTTTGAAATTTTTATTTACTTTTAATATAATTATATTTATTTCAATTTATATATATCTACAATACATACACAAAGGATGTATAAAAAAAAAAATCACATTGAATATTTGTAATGCTACAACTTACTTAAAATACAATTGGACATTGATATATAATTTGATGCTCCCTGGTTGTCAATTACACAAAGTGCCAGAAGTAACTTACCATGCTATTGCATATTCGTATGTAATTTGATGCTCCCTGGTTGTCAATTATAAATTAGGCTTAATATCACAAAACGTCCCTAAGGTTTACGAAACTATCACATTGCATTCTTAATGTTTTGTTTTTTGTCATTCGTGGTCCTCAAGGTTAGTATGTGTAATCACAAATGGTCATTGTCGTTAGATTCCGTTAAAATTTTGTTAGTTTGCTGACGAGACATATATATATATATATATATATATATATCACAAAACATCCCTGAGGTTTACGCACTTATCACAAATGGTCCTTGCAAAATTTTTTAATTTTTAATTTTAAAATTCATAAAATTTTGTTTTTCTTTTAAATAATATATATTGTATTTTAAATACACGTGACACTATATTTTTGAAGATGTGGGCTCCACATATATGCCACATCAACAAACTAATGAAGTTTTAAAAAAAAAAATTAAGAAAATTTAAAAATGAAAAAAGCATTTATAGAAGATTTTAACATTGAGGACCATTTATGAACCCTAAACCCTTGGTTTTTCCATTTTTAAGTTTTATGAATTTTAATTATTTTTTAAAAACTCTATTAGTTTGTTGATGTGGCATATATGTGGAGCCTACATCTCCAATAATATAATGTCGCGTGTATTTAAAATACAATATATATTTTTAAATAATTTAAAATTCATAAAATTTTAAAAAGAAAACTAAAATTTTATGAATTTTAAATTAAAAAATTTCACAAGGACCATTTGTGACGTTTTGTGATATTAAGTCTTAAAATTTTCAAGCCAATATATAGCTTTCCGATTTCAGTTTGTTAGTTTATCGCATTCGTACGAGATTATGAGGACCAAGCAGAAAATCTATAAACCCCAATAGTATTTCAGATTACAATAAAGTAGAACACAACGCAATAGTTTGGTCAAGATATTTTGTTGTTATCGAAGTCCATGCCATAATTTGGCCCAATAGAGACTGTGCAGAAATCAGGCCCAAACATATACGGTCAATTTTTCCTCACGAGAGTAGTGAAAATCGAATTCTTTCCTTGTTCGAAATCTATGATAAGGGCCCAAAAATCATGAAATATGATTCTGCAATTTCAAGTTAAAAACAATAAAAATTTCAAGTACTGCATAAAAGCATATATATTAGGGAGTTTCACTAAAACACCCAAAATGGGAGTTGAAATTATAAAAAAATCCAAGCACTATTTAAACATATAAACACACCCAAAACCCATCATTACACACACTCAAAACCCATTTATAAACACACCCAAAAAGTTGACTTTGGGGTTGATTTTGGGTGTGTTTCTATGTTTAAATAGTGCTTGGGTTTTTTTTATAAATACATGTCTAGAATTGGGTTTATTTATAAATTTGGATATATTATATATGTAAAATTTGTAGATAGGCTTATTATTTATACAAATTTATAAATAAACCCAATCCTAGACATGTATTTATAAAAAAACCCAAGCACTATTTAAACATAGAAACACACCCAAAATCAACCTCAAAGTCAACTTTTTGGGTGTGTTTATAAATGGGTTTTGAGTGTGTGTAATGATGAGTTTTGGGTGTGTTTATATGTTTAAATAGTGCTTGGGTTTTTTTTATAATTTCAGACTCCATTTTGGATGTTTTAGTGAAACTCCCTATTATTTATTGTCTGCAGGTGCAACAACAGAGTTTTGCTTGGTTAACTTGGCCACTAACATTGACCTCGCCCCTACTATTTTTCTCTTTTTCGGTCAGATCCTTCTCCTTTGCTATTAGTCTTCCCAGTTTCCGGTGGTTGACCATACAATATATTGGCCTTTGATTGTGAGCTTTCCGGGGCAGGATGAAGAGGACAATCAATCCGGCTTTTGCCCACTTGATCATAGCAGATTATAACCTCCCACAAAAAATATTCCGTCGTCGCATTTTTCAACTCCTTGAAAGTTCGAATTAGAGGCAAGCGCTGGGTTTTCTTCTGAATTGCCCTCTCAAGATCATCAAGGGTATACTTGTTGTGTCCTGGCCTGATATCGCTAGCCTCAAAAAATTTGGAAATATTGTTTTTAGCCCACAATGCAAGGGTTTTTTCAAAGTAGTCGTTCTGGGTAGGAAAACCGCCACATCCACTGTGTTTCACATATTCATAAGCCCAAAACTCCCTATCTTTTCTGCCGGTTAACAGGTTTGGCCAAGCTGCCTCCATTTTTGCTAAAAGTTCAGGGTCTCCTTCCACCTATAAAAAAAAATTAATTACTTAAATAGAAATAAAGAGTAAGTAATGTTTTATTTTCTAAAAAAAGGAAAAGAAAAAGAAACACGTAATAATACCAGAGATTTATCAAATATCTGAGGAGGGTCGTACTTGGAATTCAAAGGATGGTTTGAGAAGTTAGTCGGCCAAAGGCCATGTATTTTGAACTTCTCAACAAACTTGTCTGCAGAATTGTATTTGTTCTTGTCGATTTGATATAGCGTATTTGGCCATTGAAGGACTAACTGTAGATAATTGTAACTATGTATCGCATGCGTAGTAATACAAAAAAACTAGGATAAAAACAGTGAAAACGAAAGCAAGTTTGAAGTTGAACAATTTTGCCATGGTGATGATGATCACAATGATCTGATCCCCCACACACACACACACACATATATATATATATATGTTGATGCTCAAAATGGTTAGGCCAAGATTGAGTCCAACTTAGTGATGAGGTGTGATGGATGATGGATGAAGGTGAGGACCTTAAGCATGTGTGTAAAGACTTGGGCAAGCGATAAATATAAAGAAGACAAGATATACGTGGTTCACCCTTAATGAATGGGCTACGCCCACGGAGAAGTATGTTCTCATTATAATGGTGTATGATTACATTTGTACATAGGGTTGGACCCGAATATAAAGATGACAAGTGAGATGCCCAGGCCAGGGATCTAGGAGAGAGTCCCCGGCCCTAGGGTCTAGCTCTGAGACCCGAATCCTCCTCCAAGTGGAGAGCAGAAGTCCTCTTTTCACATGGATATTATTCCCTATTTATAGGAAGGTGAAAGTGGGAGGTTTGCATAGAATTTCGATGTAGGACTTTGTGCAAGTCCTTGTGGTGGTGACACGTGTCATGGTGTTGATGTTATTCAAGCACTGGCAATCTTGGATTTCCGAGAGTATAGTATTATGTGTCCTGGGTCTTGGATTAGGACTTGGAGTTCATCCTTGCGTCCCCCTTGGTGCTTTAGCTCAAGTGAGTTTGGAGCTGGGTACTTGGGTTTTTTAGCAAGGATGCCGAGATTGGGCTTTATGGAGCTGAGCTTCGGTAGAGGCTGGGGCCTTGAAGCTTCGACAAGAGTTTGGTCTTGGAATTGTGCCAAGTGCACACTTGGTGTTCAGCAAAGATGGCTACTTTAGGAGAGAAAAGTAGGCTTGGGCCTTTCCAGCTTCGGCAAGGAGGTTTGTGGGCCCTTAGTTCTTTACGACCCGGGTCCTGCCGTTCAACAGGGAGGCTGAGTTATGGCCTTGGCTCATGCATCTTTGGTAACCAAGTGATGGCTTTAGAAAGTAGGAAAGTGATGCCAAGGGTGTTGAAGGAAAAATGCAAGTGTGCATTTTTTTATTATTATTTGAAGAAATAATAATAATAGCTTATTATTATTATTATTATTATTATTATTATTATTTTGGGTAGCAGCTTGAGGCCTCCATTTACTTCTGTATGGGGTTAAGCCCCTGGGCCTTTGGCATGGCGCCAATCCAGGCCTCCAAGCCTGTTTGTGGAGCTGAGCCACAGGACCTTGTTTTTGGACCAACGTGAGAGGCCTTCTTGGCTTGGAGCTGGGCTTCGGAATTTTTAGACAAGAAGCTGGAGTGTTTGGAGTGTTTGGAGCAGCATAGGACCTTGGAAGTTTTAGACAAGAAGCTAGGCTTTTGGTTGGCCAAGGTTGGGCCTTGAAATGTCGGCACCAAGGCTAGGCCCTGGGGTTGGAGGGGGATGTGCGCATCTCCTTTTAATTAAAACCTGCCGTTCGGCAAGGTAAAATCAAAAGGGGCTAGGTAGCTTGGCATGAGCTGGGTCTTGTCTGGGTCCCCTGTCAATCCATGGAGCTGGGTCCCTTGTGAATCCATGGAGCTGGGTTCGGTGAGAACGGAGTCAACGTGAATAGAGCTGGACTCCTGGCTACCTTGGCTCGAGTCGAGGTTTGTAGTTCAGCATTTGTTCGTGGAGGGGGTTCCTCTAATTTCCATATAGCCCTTGCCGTTCGGCAAGGGCAGCTGGGGTTTTTGTTTGAGATTTTTGGAGGCCTGTGGTGTTCCTTTATTCCTTCGGCAGATTGGTGAGGCTGGGTTACTGAGAAATTTCTTGGAGCCGGGCCATTGGAGCTGGGCCGTCATCGTGTGACAAGGAGCCTAGAAGGTAAGTCCCCTCAAAACTTCTTTCATGGTGCCTGTCGTTCAGCAAGGCCATACCGAACTCAATTTTGATGTTGACTTTGTTTTTGTGGCTGTTTTAGACCTTGAACTGGAGCTGAAATTTGGAGCTGGGTCACTGAATGTTCCGTTTCAGTTTTGGTGAGTTGTCTTGTGAGCTCCATTTTGCTTCTCCATGGGCCTTGCCATTCGGCAAGGCCTGTGTGCATAAGCTGAGTTGGTTGTTGTTAATCTTCTGTAGGGTCTGAGCTCTGTGAAATTTGGCAAGGCTTTGTGACTGCATCGTAGGTGGCCGGGTACCCGAGCCTTGAAGAAGGGTGCTTTGGAGCTGGGTATTTCGGCAAGTGTTTAGGTAAGTTCTTTTTGAAGACATTTTTTTGATTTGCTCAACCCTTGCCGTTGTTTGAGAGTAATTTTGTAATTGTCCTCATTTTGGCTACCTTCGGCAGGTACTTGGCTGTGGCAAACTTGAGGGACCGTGATCCTTTTAGGCCCATTGTGGGCTCAAGCTGTAGGGGTCTTGAATTTAGGGAGCTAGGCCCTTGGTGTGAGCTTGGGCTAGGCCCCAAATCTGTTCGGCAGGTTCCATTTGGCTTGGCCATTTTGTTCACTTGGTAAGGCAGTGGTTGCTCTCGGCAAGGCTAAAAGCTGGAGAAAGGGTCTTCGGCACCTTGGGGTTGAAAAAGGGGTCTTGGGGTCGGTCTGTGGTTTTGGTATGGTGACCCTTGTTTGATGCTTACACAGCCCTTCGTGTTCAGTAGCTAGGAGCAAGTCAGTTCGGCAGGTTGAGTTTGAGCTAATTTTGTGAGGCCTTGGCGTCGGGAGTTGTTTCTATTAGCCAAAGCTCAACCCTTGTCGTTCGGCAAGGGGGGCTTGAGAAATTTTAAGACCTCGCTGAAAGTGTTGGGGTCTTTGGCAAGCTGATTTGGAGCGTTGATTTTCGAAGTTCTCACATTGGCAAGCTGGTCCTTGGGTACCTCCAGCTTCAGCTTGTGCTGGGACCGAGGGCTTTGTAGGGCTGGGCAAGCCCTCGTTCGGCAGGTGGGCTTGGAACTTGGACTGGGCTTTGTAGCTGGAGCACGGGTTGGCAAGGGTAAGTCTTCCTTTGCTTCTTGTGCGAACGGGCTGGGGCTGAGGAGTTTTGGCAAGAACTGAGGACTTTGCACACGGGCTAGGTCCTGTGGGTTGAGCAGGAGCTTGGCGGCTGGGTTGTGGTGGCCGGGTGTTCTTGAGAGCTGGGAATTCGAGAGGTCTTCCCAAACCTTCAGCAAGCCCCTTGTCGAACGGCAAGGGTGGCCTGAGAAAATCTTGAGTTGCCCCTTGTTTGTGCTTATCCTTTGAGAAAATAGGCTGAGCCCAAGGGCTCTGGAGTGCGAACTCGGAAGTCGAGCTCTTGGGGCAGGTTGGGTTCAGCAAGAACCGTAAGGGGGTAAGTTCGAGCTAGGACCGTCTAGGATCTGGGTCCTTGACTGTCGGCAAGGAAGTTATTGGAGCTGCAGATTCGGAGTTTGCAGATTCGACAAGGAGGTATCTTTTGAGTCCCCCAAAAAGATTTTTTTATGGGTTTTGCCTTTCGGCAAGTACCCTGGGACATGCTATGACGATCTTTGTTTGTTGTTTATGATCTAGAGAAAATTGGGGGCTGGGCCTCTTGTCCTTCAAGCCCAACGAGAATTGGGCAAGTGTTTTAGAGCTTGGGCTTGACCTTCATCCAAGGGGATGGGCTACTAGATTAATGAGGCCCGGCCGTTCGGCAAATTGGGAATCAAAGCTGGGCCTTCCCCGTTGCTAAACGTTTTTAAAGTAGTTGGGCCATTGATAAATTTGTTTGGGCCGGGCCATTGAAGCTGGGTCATGGCACCGTCGGCAAACGTGGAGCTGCTATAGCAGGTGGGCTCATTTATTTCGGTAAGACTTTTTGCAAGTCCCCCTTAAATTGCTTTCCTGGGCCTTGCCAATGTGCTAAACTTGATGTGTTCCTTGGGTGCTTTGATTTTGAGCAAAGGCTGGAAAGAAAATTGAAGCTAGGCTTGCGATTTGGGTGTCTTGAGCAAATGGGTGTGCCATTCGGTGTTTTGAACAAAAACCAACCATGAGTTAGAAGACTTGGGAGCTTCTGGAACTGCTCCTAGAGTTGCTGATCTGAAGCTTCTGGAGAAGGTGGGGTGTGGCTGCCATTCGGTGTCCTTGAGTGCCTTGAGAAATTTTCCAAGTGTCCTTGGGTGTTTGATAAGTTTAGTGGTTGGGTGCCGTATAGCTTCGCCATTTAAATTGCTCCAGACTTTCAGCTAGTTGTCACATGGGCTTCCCATTGGATTGAAATGGTGGCTTGGCCCTAGCCATGCAAGCCAAGCAAAGTGATACTCTAGTTAAATTGGGTACCTGGGCAGCTATTATTCATATGCAATATCCATGAATCATATTGCTGAATAGGATTGTGCAAATATTACATGCTTGTATACAATATTTATATGTAAGAAAAAAAGTCTTATCTTGTGGTGAGGATGTGCGTGGGCATCGCTCATATCAGAGAGGTCTGCCGAAGCCCTCGCAGGCGCCACATGACGATGGGGTGCCGAAGGCATCGCTCATGCCGAATGATGACGGGGTGCCGAAGGCATCACAAAGCTTGCATGTTGCAAGGCATTGTGGCTGGGCACGATGGTGCCGAAAGCGACACAAGACGTGGCTAGGCACGGAGTCGCCGAAGGCAACACAAAGCTTGCGTATCGTAAGGCGATGTAGCTAGGCACGGGGGTGCCGAAGGCAATACCAGGAGTGGTTAG